TTTCTTACAGAGAGGAAGAGAGAGGGATAGAGAGTTAGAAACACCGATGAGAGAGAATCACCGATCAGCTGCCTTCTGCACACCCCCAGTGGGGATGTGCCCGCAACCAAGGTACACGCCCTTAGTAACCAGAATTAAACCCAGGACCTTTCAGTCTGCAGGCCAACACTCTATCCACTGAGCCAAACTGGTTTCGGCTTAAATAATATTTTGTTTAGTTTTGTTTCTGACCACTATTTGTGGTTAATCCCTTTTTATATAATATTTTGCTATCACTCTATCATAGTGGATTTGTCTAATCTCTTGTCCACAGTCTTTTGCTATCACGAACTCTGCTACTTTGAACTGTCAGACATATATGTCCAAGTTTGCTCTTGGCTATATACTTAGAGAGAGGGCATTATAGGGCTATAGGGTACACAAATGTTCAGCCTTGCCATTATGCCAAATCGTTTTCCAAAATGGTTACACTTGTTTACATTCCATCAGCAACCAATACAAGTTCAAAATGACCCACATTGGATAATACCTGGTGCTGTGTCAGACTTCTTGTTTTCCTCTTTTTAAGTCTAGGTGATCTTGGGCCCTTCAAAAAGGCTTCCAGTCACCCTTTTAATTAAACTTCTTCCCAATGGTGGCTACCTACATGTATGAGACTAGTCAAGAGCAGGCATGATTCGTAGGGTTTTCCTTGTAGGGCATGTGTAACTATCAGAATAGTTGCCATAGACTTTGAGTGACAAGATTTCATCTCTGGGTTGGGAGGGACTTCATGGAGCACTCAGAGAAGGATTCTGAGGGTGTCTAGGCTTAGCAAGAATCAGTGCTGTATAGGTTAGGGATGTCTGATGGTTGATGGGATGGAAAGTGCTGGCCAACTTTCTGCCATCTCTTCAGCCAGCTGGCATGCTATGAAGGGATCATTGGTAGGCAGGACATCATTACCTAACATGCAGAGGATATCCATGCTTACAAGGTTGGTCAGTGGATGGCACTAGAACTTGGACTTCAGGGTCACACTATTCTCTGATAAGAGAAGCTTCTTGTGCCTAAGATATATACAAACAACATGGTTTAGGCTGAATACCTGCTGTCCTTCTGGAAGTCTGGAATTATGGCATTGCTAGGCACAAGAAGTGACCGTCCTAATAAAACCCTGCACAGTAAATCTCTAAGGAGCCTTTCTGGTAGGTAAGGCGCTGAATTAAGCATGTTCTGTGTGTCTCCCGGGGAGAGGACTCTTGGGAGCTCGAGCCTGGTCTCCTCTGGACTTTGCCCATGCATCTTTCCCTTTGCCGATCCGCTTTGAATCCTCCCACTGTGATAAATCACAGCACAGTAATCCTCTCACTGTAAGGATGCCACCCCAATTCACGGTTTCACTTTTTGCAATTTCAGTTACCGTATTTTTCGGACCATAAGACGCTCTGGACCATAAGACGCACCAGTTTTTAGAGAAGGGAAATGAAGAAAAAAAGATTCTGAAACAAATAGTGTCCTAAAATATTTTATGTGCATTAAAACCCAACATCACAGTCATAAACACATGTAATCAACCCTGTAAAGTAAACAGCAGCATTTAGAACCATTTTAGAGCCGGGCAAGCACACAGAGACCACACAGAGCCGGGCAAGTAAAAAAACTTTTTTTTTAAAGTATATGTGTAGGCTATATTTGGACCATAAGACGCAGGGACTTTTCCCCCCCACTTCTGGGGGGAAAAAAGTGCGTCTTATGGTCCGAAAAATACGGTAACTTGCAGTCACCCTGCAAAATATTAAATGGAAAATTCCAGAAATAACCCACAAGTTCAGAATTGCATGCTGTTCTGAGCAGGTGATGAAATCTTGCGTCATCCAGCTGAGTCCTAGGACATGAATCATCCCTTTATCCAGCGTTTCCATGCTGTGTATATGCTACCTACCCATTAGTCCTTCAGTGCCCACCTGGCCCCAAGCATAAAAGTAGTGATGTGGGCAATTCTGGATATGCCAAAAAGAACTGGAAAGTGCTTCATTATGTGAAAAGGCGATATAGTACAGTAAGCTATTCTGAGAGAGACCACTTTCACATAACTTTATTATTAAAGCACATTGTTATAATTGTTCTATTGTATTGTTAATCTCTGTGCCTGATTTATACATTAAACTTTATCATAGGTACCTAGGTACAGATCAAGTCCCCTATGGAACCTCTTCCATAGTAAGCATCCATTGGTTGGATGTGTGAACAGACCCCAACTTACAGTTTCAAAACAGGTCTAGTCACTTACCGTCGCTGCCTCCTCCAGGGCCTGCTTGTTTCCTCCAAGGGCTTGAAAAAGAACATTTTGTTCAGTTACTATCAGTTTAATTGTAAATCACCTTCCCATGATGAGCTATCTTTCTAAAACAGGACCAGAGTAAGCCCCAATAATTTGAGGACCTTCATAAGCTAGTCTAATCTTTCTCCAAGCTTGATTTGTCCCCCTCATGACCTAGCCTATGTTCTACTGAACTAAAAAGTTCCTGTTAGTTCCCAAATGTGCCACTCTTTTCTGAGATTCATTGCCCTGGTATTACTTCCTGTGCCCAAAATATTCCTCCGCACCCAACCAATTCCTAACTCATCCTTTGAAACTGATCTCAAACCCAAAACTCTGCTTGTCTGTCTATGACAGCAGACTGCTGCTAAGTGCTATGTTAGTTGTTCATCCTCACCCAACCCAACAACCACTCAAAGCAGTTTAATTCTTTTCTCTCCTCCCACCCTCTGGGTCTTGAACTGAATTCCTTGAGGACAGAGATACCGTATTTTTCGAACCATAAGACGCACTTTCCCCCCCCCAGAAGTGGGGGGAAAAAGTCCCTGCGTCTTATGGTCCAAATATAGCCTACACATATACTTTAAAAAAAAAAGTTTTTTTACTTGCCTGGCTCTGTGTGGTCTCTGTGTGCTTGCCCGGCTCTAAAATGGTTCTAAATGCTGCTGTTTACTTTACAGGGTTGATTACATGTGTTTATGACTGTGATGTTGGGTTTTAATGCACATAAAATATTTTAGGACACTATTTGTTTCAGAATCTTTTTTTCTTCATTTCCCTTCTCTAAAAACTGGTGCGTCTTATGGTCCGAAAAATACGGTAATATCCATAGTTTCTGGCAAAATGTGCCATACAGTAGGTATGTAGTTAAATTAATGTGTGTTGAATGAAGAGGTCCGTGCAAGGTTAGATATAGAATAAAAAGTTAGGTTAGGTCTTCCTGCTAGAAACTCTCAAAGTACCCTGTATGACAGACAGTTAAGAACGTAGGGTTTGGAACCAGAATACGCCTACATTCAAATAAACTCTGTACAAACCAGCTCATGAGGAACAAAGCAACCAATCTTTCTGTGCCTTAATCTTGTCATCTACAAAATGGGGATAATTTTAATAATACATTTTTTTATGAGGATAAAATTAGTTAAAACAGCGAGTCCTTGAATAACATAGTTTTAATTCGACATCACTTCATTGGGGCTGATACATGTTCAATGACTATTTGCAGAAATGTACAAACAAATGGATTAATAAGCAAAAGGGCAAGCTAAAAGGATCATTAAAAGTCTACTTTCTAAGGAAACCATGCATTTCTATCTCAGGAGGAGGCTACATACTGGGTAATTAATAATAACCCGCTGGCCCAGAAGGCCTTAAGATATTATATGGCCTTTTAGAGAAAACATTTGACTACCTGCAGGGGTAGATGATGTGAGTGCTAACGAGATTAAATCTGAGCTTTTTTTTTTTTTTTTTTTTTTAATCCTCACTCCAGGATATTTTCTTCCATTGATTTTTAGAGTGGGAGGGAGGGAAGGAGGGAAGAAGGCGGAGGAGAGAAAGAAACACTGATGTAAGAGAGAGACATCGATTGGTCCCACCCGGTGCAGAGGCTGACGCTTTAACCACGGAGCCACCAGCCGGGGAAACCTGCTTCCTGCAGTGACCACGGAGGCCCTAGCTAAGGTGACGGCTGCTGGCTGAGCAGCGGGCTCCAGGGCGAAGCCCGGGGACACGCCAGCGGCGCTTACCGAAGTAGTCGAGGCAGTTCATCTCGCGCAGCGCCTTGGGGAGCCGCAGGATCTCGATGTTGTACAAGTTATCCATCTCCTTGAGGATGTTCAGCCCGTCAGACAGAATCTGCTTGGATCGTATTTGCACTGCGATGGAGCAGAGTGGACAGAGCCGGGGTCCCCGGTGGGTGAAAGGAGCCCGGAACCCGTGCTGCCCGCTGCCAATCCGCCAGCCCCCCGCAATCGCCCCGCAGCCGCGACGACCCGCGCTCGGCCCTTACCTTCACGGTCGAAGTCCTTAAGAAAGGAGGCGAGCTTCCGGCTCCGTAACAAGTTGGTTTTGGTCACCCGACGGCTGGCCTTTCTAGCCGGAGCCATGGCGCCTCAGTGGCGGCGGCTGCGGGGAGCCGGGAACCGAGCCCCAAAGGGTTAGAGGCGGAGCCTGGGGAGGGAAAGCGGGGGGCCGCGAAGGCGAGGGAGAGGGCGGACGCGCGCGCCCCAAAGGGTTCGTGGAGCGGGTTGACCTTCGGGGCCTGAGCGTAAAGCAGACGCGAGGAACGTACCTGCGGACCCCAAAAACAAGGGGGAACCTCGCCGCTCAAACAGCGAGGGAGCGGCTCTCGGGCTACCGAGACGTGCGACCGCCGTCACGAAATTCAAACTGCCACAGGCTGACCAATGAGAAGGCGCGGTCTTAGAAGGCGGGTCCACGACACCCAATCACAGAGAAGCTCTTGTGTCGGCCGCCGGCTCACAGGTAGGACTACAATTCCCAGAAAGCACTGCGGCACGACAGCATATTTTCGCGACTTCACTGCGTGGGGACTGCGCTCTGAGGACCTGCGGGTTCAGGCCAGCGGCTCCCTTGCGTCCTCAAAATTGGACGGCCTCTTGAAGCGTTTGCGTTTTCCCGCTGGTTTAAGGGAAGCGACCAGCCGTCTCAAGGACAAGCGACAAGATTCCGGAAGCACAACCGGTCTGTTTTTGGGGCGGCCGGGCTGGGGCCCCGGGAATCCGCAGTCTGCAGCCCCGTCAGATCCTCCAAGGGACAATCGGGGACCCCTTCCCAAGTGGGGAGACCAGCGACCCGCCTCCCGAGAGCCCCTCTGAAGGTAAGCCAACGCCTGGCGCCGGGAGCTCTTGTCGGAGGGGATAGACAGTCCTACCTGAAACTCATCTGGGAATGGAAATAACTCCCACCCTTGATCTGGTACTTCCCCTGCCGACCTGGGACCCGAATGCTACATAACCTGTGACTAAGGTAGTTTTTTTTACCCCTTCCGCAACAGATGACTCAAGATGGGCCTTTGCTGGCGGTGCAGGAGGCCCTGAAGAAGTGCTTTCCGGTGGTGGAGCAGCAGCAGGGCCTGTGGCAGAGCACCCTGCGGGACTGCCCGCCCCTCCTGGCCTCCCTCAGCAACCTGGCCGAGCAGCTGCAGGCGGCGCAGAACCTGCGGTTTGAGGATGTGCCGGCGCTCCGGGCCTTCCCGGGTCTGAAGGAGCGTCTGAGGCGCAAGCAGCTGGAGGCCGGGGACACCGTCCTGGACCAGCTGGGAGAGCGGCTGTAAGAGAAGAGGCTCCCTGGCGCGCTTGGCGGAAAGATGTTAAAACCGGGCGTTCCATAAGTCGCTAGGCTCAGTCAGGAAGGTGTTTCCTTCCTTACTCTGGAGCATGGCATTCGGAGGTGCCTCAGCCTTCTTTCCCTTCTTTGCGTCTGTTGCAGAGGACCTCTGTCAGGCAGCCATCTTCCGGCATTTCCCTGGTCAGAGGCCAGGTGTGGCCGTGGTGGGCTTCGTAGAAGTTAAAAAAAGTAAAATAGAGAAGCAGTGGAGAATGCTGATGAGCTAGCTCTCTTCGGTAATTTCCTTTGGCCAAAAGCAACGAGGAACTACCGTGGACCCCTGAACAACACTTGGGGTTAGGGATGTCATCCAGTGCCACGAAAAATCTACGTGTAACTACAGTTGGCCCTCCCCATACGTGGGTTCCCAACTGCAGAGTTAACCCTTGAACAATGCAGGTTTGAGCTGTGCTGGTCAAATGAAAAAAATCCCCATCTAAGCAGACCTGCACAGTTAAAGCCCATATTGTATGTTGTGAACTTGGAGAGTGTCAGAGCAAAGGGTGTTACATACATTATTGCATAGAATCTTTTCAGCACCTCTGTGTCTTAACCTCACTTAACCCCATTTTGCAGGCGAGGAAACTGAGGCTCAAACAGATTGCCTCTGGTCTCACAGCTAGTAAATGGCAAAGCTGGGGTTCTCACCCAAGGGTGCCTGAACAACCATTTTGTTCTGCTGTACATGGGTGTCTGCAGCCAGGAGTAGCACATCTGTCAACCCTTATCATGCCTGATGTTAGACTCTACCTTAGTTACAGGTTATGAGGGTAGAGGAAAGACAGGGCACAGATTGTTCTAGTGTATAGAGTATATGCCATAGACCAATAGTCAGCAAACCGAGGCTCATGAGCCACATTTGGCTCTTTGGCCCCTTGAGTGGCTCTTCCACAAAATACCACGTGCGGGCACGCACATCCAGTGCAATTGAAACTTCTGGCCCATGCGCAGAAGTCGGTTTTCGGCTCTCAAAAGAAATATCAATCGTTGTATTGTTGATATTTGGCTCTGTTGACTAATGAGTTTGCTGACCACTGGTGTAGAGTATATGCCATAGACTAATACAAAACTGTCCAAAATGGGGACCATCTTTGTACTCATTTGTACAAAATACATTTATTAAGCACCAGTGGGATGCCAAGTACAAAGTTCTGGGTCTGCAACAATGAACCGGATTTAACTCCTTAGTTGGGTAGAAGAGATAGTCAATTAAATATTAGGTCATGGTATATTCTAAGAGAATGAGTTTTTATTTCAATTGTTTACATATGTGTGTGTGGATATTGGGCTGCTATTTTAAGTCTCCTTTAAAATTATAGGTCATGGTGAAACATTTGATTCCAAGATAAGGAATGCCTTGCCCTTTAGGAAATTGTAAACTTTGCCTTGGTGACTCGGCCCCTTGGAGTCACCAGTGGAGTAATAACAATATTTATCACAAGCTGGGCTCACAGCATTTTATGTGCATTACTGCATTTAATCTTCACAATAACCCTTTTTATTCACTCAACAAGTGTTTGTTCTATGTGCCAGTTTCAGTGTTCGAGGTACTTAGGATGCGCAGTGAGCAAAACAGACTGGCTTTATGTGAGAGAAAAAGAAGCTTTCCTAAGCTCACATTAGTCTGTGTGCACTGCAACCTAAACTTTCACCATTCAAGAATTTACTAGGATGGGGCTGGGCAACATCTGGATAGTACTGGTTTGTTGCTCCAGTTGTGCCTCTTACTCCCTTTTCACATTCATGTGTGAGCAGTTGCTTTTCTTATACAGCTTTATGGCAGCCTCGGACAGGCCCCGTGGTCATTACTTCCTTTGAAAGCCATATAACTTATGTGTCTTCTCCATATTTAAGTACATTCTTAATTCTTGAGCCACCCCTACTTCCAAGGCACCATCACCAATCTCCTTACACAAGTGGGTGTCCTTTGGAGGCAGTTTTTCCCCAAGGGGACATTTGGCAATACGTGGAGATATTACTGATTATTGCAGTGTGTGGAGAGTGGGGACGTGGTTTGGTCCTGCCATCTAGTGGGTAGAGGCCAGGGATGATGCTAAACCTCCTGCAGTGCACAGGGCAGCGCTCCACCCCAAAGAATCATGTGGTCCAGAATGTCAGTGTGCCATCGGCGAGGAACTCTGTCTTCTGCCTTTCTCATGATAATGCCTAATATCAGACCCTTTCCCCCAGAGCTGCCCTCCTCAAGGTGCGTGACGCTGTCAGCAGCCACGTGGGACAAGTGCTTCAGGTCTACGAGCAGCACGCAGACGCCATCGGCATTGACGCTGTCCTGCAGGCCTCGGCGGCGAGCCCCTCTGTGGCTGACATGTTGGAATGGCTGCAAGACATTGAGAGACATTACCGAAGTTCGTATCCTTTGCACACATTTCAAATAGTATCCAGGGCTGTTCCAGGAAGTCTTTTTTCCCCCTTTCTTTTTCTTTTTAATTCTCACCTGAGGATATTTTTCCATTGGTGTTTGTTTGTTTGTTTATTTATTTATTTATTTTTTCCCATTGATTTTTAGAGAGAGGGAAAGACAGAGAGAAATATCGATGTGAGAAAAACACATCAATTGGTTGCCTCCTGCATAAGCCCTGACCAGGGCCTGGCCTGGGGAGGATCCTGCAGCCGAGGTACGAGCCTTGGACTGGAATTGAACCTGGGACTCATTGGTTCACAGGCTGACGCTCTATCCACTGAGCCAAACCAGCTAGGCCCAGGAAGCCTTTTAATTTCATTTTTCACAGAATTACAACATTGTATAGTATGGGTCAGTTCTCTGGTTCCTGAGTTTTGGTTCTTCCTACCATTATTTCTCAACTCATTTATTGAGTGCTATTACCTGCCAGGCATTTTTCTAATTTCTGGGCGTTAAAAAAGGAAGACACATAGAATGTCAGGTGGTGATGAGTGCTATGGAGAAAAATAAAGCAGAGAAAGTGAGGGCTGAGGGTGAGGTGGTGATCTTAAATAGGGTGGGCAGGGCAGGCCTCACTGAGAAAGTGACACCCAAGGGAAGACATCAGGTGCAAAGGCCCTGAGGTGAGAGCACGCCTGAATGTTCAGGAAATAGCAAGGAAGCAGTGTGGTTAGAGCAGAGTAAAGAGGGGAACCTAACAGGAGAGGGGCTAGAGCTTGTAGGGCCCTGAGGTCTTTGAGAGGATTTGGCTTTCACTTTGAATGAGAGGGAAAGCTATTGGAAGGTTTTTACATAAGCAAACCTGTTTTTAACAAAGCACCCTGGCTTTGTTCTGAGGAAAGACTTGGGATGGTGTGGAGCAAGAGTAGAAGCAGAAAGATCATTTAGTTGAATGGCCTTTTTTTCTCGATTCTTGCCTGATACACTGGCTTAAATGTCTCCCTTCATTTGGATAACTCTCACATCCACGCTTTCTTTCGATGCCTCCAACTGGATTGCTCACACTCAGATTTAGAATTGAGCTCCTCTATCTAGTACTCACATTCTACATTCTACTTCCTTTTCCTTTAGTTGTAGAATCAACTGTGTATAATCGCCCACTTTGAAGACTTAAGCAGTATCTTCCCCCTTTCTCTCTGTTTTCTTTTTCAATTGCGGCAGCAGCATGGGCAGTAGGAGCGTCAGCTGCAGCTCACATTACTGAGCACTTATGTGCCACGTACTGCTCTGAGCCTGTTTACACAGTCACCTGTCAAATCCTTTTCCCCGGTTTCCCCGGTGCGTTTTATGAATTGTTTCTCCGCATCGCCTCTTCCATGGTTTCTTACCTCTCATTTGGACTTCTAATCACATGCAGCCTCCTGCTTCTGTCTCTAGCCTCTTTCCCAGGAAGCCATCCCCAAATGAGTAACCTCACCCCACTTTTCTTCAGGAGATCGAGTTCTGATCCTATTGTGTGTGTAGGAGTTTTTAGTAGCTCCTGTTGGGAGGCGGGCAAAATGCAGAATTCCCACGCTGGGCTGCAATGCTCTTTGTGTTCTGGCTCAACCACCTTTCCTGCTACTTGACACATTGTTCCATGCCAGCTGTGCTGGAAGGTTTATTTGTCCCTGAGTCCGTCCCAGACTTCCCCACCTCCGTGCCTTTGCTTATGCGTTTCCTGCCAGCTGGGATCTTCCTGGTGCCTCTAACCTGGATGAATTCATCCTCGCACTTCCTCTGACTTACCTCACGTGTCACTTAGATTCCTTCTCCTCAGTTTCTGGTGTTTCCTCGCCGTGGCGAGGTCCTAGACTTCAGTGTTCCGCCAGTCCTGCCGGTGGAAAACTCCACGAGAGCTGCACTCTCACTTTTATGCGCTCTCTAGGTCTCTCCAGGGGATTTTTCTCCTTCCATATATTTCCTTTTCCTTTTGAGCAGTCCTTAACTTCCAGGAAGGTACCTGAAGAGAAAGTACCTCCTGTCCTCAATCCGTTGGGAAGACCTGGCAAGCATCCAAGCTTTGCCCGCAGCCTGGGACCGGATTTCGGAAGATGAACACCCAGACTTGGTCCCAGGTACTGGTTTGGACTTACTCCTTCATGCCGCCCTCCTCCGTTCTGTCCCCGCGGCTCGCTTCTTTGGGAGCGTCGCAGAGGTGCCCTCACAGAGCCTGTCTCTCCTGTCAGCCTGGAGAGGTGGTATGTCACGGTTCTCTCTTCCTGTTCCAGACATCCTGCTGACTGTGTCCTTCTTTCTGGAAGAGTAAGGAAGCCGTGTGATTATCTGGAGACCAGAGGGACACAGTTGAAGACCACCAGTGCCGCACTCTGCTATTTCTTAAGAAATACCGATATTGCAACCGAGCTTATTTGAAAGACGGTCTACAGCCTAAGGACTGGCTCTTGGGAGAATTGTTGGGGCTTCTCCCTGCCAGGTCACGGCTGAGGGTACGCGGGCCACACCTCGCTCTTTCTAAGGCTCCGGGGATGGGTGGAGGCAGAGAGATGCAGGAGAGGCACTGAAGATCACCCAGGACAGAAGCAGCAGCCACAGAAGTGGTAAGGAAGGACAGATGAGTGGCACCGCCGTTGGCATCACCCAAAGCTCTGAGCCTAGTTGGCACCAAGCCCTGGTTTGGTGTACTTGTGTTCATACCTGATTCTTTGAAGAACAAGAAAGTTACTTTGATGATTTAAAGAAATAAGGGTGATGTTGATAGAAAAGAGTAATTGTTTTCCAAGTGCAATATAGCTCCTTTTCAAGCCAGTTTCAATTCCCAGAGCCTACCACCAGGGGGAGGTGGTGCAGCATGAATGATTCTGAATGCTGTCCTCTGTTGCTTACTATGTGAGAGGAAGTGGGGATAGTGGGACTCTTATTATAAAATGATGAGTTTTATGACCAATGCTGGCAGCTGACTTGCCACATTTCTCTGATCTTGGAATAGCTGCAGGGGTGGGGGGCCCAAGCCTAGAGTCAGTGATCAGGTTTTTCGATGTGTTTTCGTCACAGAGATGAAAAATAACTGAGAAAGGTTTGCAGCACAACCAGGGAAAGATCTAACTCAGTGATTCTCAAGCTTTAAGGTGCACATAAGTCCCTGGTGTCTTGTTAAAATTTAGATTCATATTCTGTAGTTCTGGGGTGAGGTTCTGGATTCTGGATATCTAATGAGGTTCCAGGTAATGTTGATGCTGATGATCCAGGGACAAGACTGAGTTGAAGCGATTTGAATTGTGATACGATAATAAAAGTGTTGTAACGGAGCTAAAAACAGAATGCTCTGGGGAAGAGAGGCGATAACTCACTGTGAGAAGACTTCATAGTGACGGCTCAGTTGGGCTTGAGGCTCATTTTCCTGGGGCTAGGAGAGGGCTGCAGGGCATTCCATGCACAGGGGACGGGCAAAGCAACATGCTGAGTGCCCGGTGTTGTGCTTGTTGCTTTATACAAAATAGATATTGATTGAAAAGTTCTCCCCCAGTTACTCAGTCTCTTTCCTTGAGGCAGCCAGTGTTTAATGATTCTGGCATATCCTCCCCAAAATACTCCTCGCCTCTGTCAGTGCAGTGGTGGGTAACCTCTAAGACAACCCGGAACAATCTCACGCCCGTGGACATCTCCTCCCCGTCAATGTGGGCTGGACTCCCAGACCTACTTCTAGGGAAGAGAATACTGCGGACATGGTGGGATGTCACTTCTGAAACTAAATTATGAAAAAGACTGCAACGTCCCTCTTGGGTGATGTCTCCCCATCTCTTGGACCCCTCGTCCTGGGGCAAGTCAGTTGTGATGCTGGGGCAACCTGTGGAGAGTCCGGGTGAGAGACTGAAGCCTGCCAGCAGCCACGGGAGCGAGCTTGGAAGCAGATCCTCTCCTTCAGGTGAGACCACAGCCCAGCTAACTGCCCGACGACACCCTCCTGAGGACCACACCAGAGGCAAGCAGCTAAGCTGTGCCCAGATTCCTGACCCATGAAAACATAATAAATGTCTGAAGTCATTAAGTGTTGGGTTCCACCGCAGTTGTTAACGAATACAATAAGCAAATATGTTTCTGTGTCTTCTCCATAATTTTACACAAATAGTAAAGTACAGGCCCAGTTTTGTGCCTTGTTTTTTCTAAAGCAGTTGCCGAGTTTTCTGTTGTGTGGGTATACCATAATTTATTTAGTCCTGACCTGTGGACCAGTAGGCTGTCTATAGTCTTAATGTCGGTTAGGTATAGGCAATCTCCCTCCACTCCCACCCTGGTTGTGATGCCTTTTTTTTTTCAATTAGCTGATCCCATCCCACCCACTCAGCCCCAATAAAAAAGAAGAATCCTGCCGAAACCGGTTTTGCTCAGTGGATAAGGTGTTGGCCTGTGGACTGAAGGGTCCTGGGTTTGATTCAGGTCAAGGGCATGTACCTTGGTTGTGGGCACATCCCCAGTGGGGGGTGTGCAAGAGGCAGCTGATTGATGATTCTCTTTCATCGATGTTTCTGACTCTATCCCTCTCCCTCTCTGTAAAAACTCAATGGAATATATTTTTTAAAAAAAAGAAAAAAAAGAACAATCCTGTTGATATTTTTACTGAAATCATATTACATTTAGAAACTAATTTAGGGAGAATCATCATAGTGGGAGTCCTAATGGCTTTGGGTTGAGATAGCAAATGTGAGTTCTTTTCTCTGTTTCCCTCAGTTGGGAAAACAGGCTCTGAGTTCAGGACGCATTCCCTGTCAGTGAGACAGTCCATTGGGATGAAATGAATGTAGGTTTCTTTCTTTCCTGTCTCTGCTCCATCCCCATTTAGACATCAACCTCAAGTCTGTTCTCTCAGGAAAGTAGGGGTTTTTCTTTTTCTTTTTCTTTTTTTCTTCTTTTTTTAGAGGAGGGATTTTTCAAAGTCAGCGGGATCCTAGCTCAGAGGAGGACTTCTCTCTGCCCAAGGAGAGTCCAGGCTTTATAGTGATTGTATTCATTTGATTTTAATCTGGATGGTAGGGGCCAGGGACCGTCTGTGACTTGTTTAAGCATTAGGTGTTAGTAATTCCTTCTTCCCATGGGGCAGCAGGCTCAGGGATGCGGGTGCGTTGATAATCGGCTCAGGGAAGGCTTGCTGAATTGCGAGTGACCCAGACCTGGGTTCAAGTCCCAGCTCAGGTGACCTTGAGTGAGTCACTTGCCCTCCAGGTTTCGATTTCTTCATCTGTATAATGGAGATGATGATACATGTCCTCACAGGATTGTACGTTTTAAGTGAGAGGAGGTATGTGAGGGCTTTTGGTTAAATGCATGAACATTTAAGGGGTTGAAATTCACTTGAGATTTGTTGGTCACCTACCAAGGGCATGGCTCTGTGTGGAACGGGTGTGCCTGAGAGACGGTGTTTTCCGAGGGCGCACAGCTTGTCAGTGACTTGCCAGAATCGGCACCGGGTTCTGGTGAGAGGGGTCTTTCCCTGGCACCACTGTTTCCGCTTTGCCGAGAGGCAGAGGCATCCCTGACACCTCCTCAGCGGGGTCTGCAGCCCTGCACAGGACAGGGTTCCTCCAAACAGCAAGGTGAGTGCAGGGCTTCCCGTCCGGCGTGCCAGCGGCACAGGGCAGCCAAGGCGCTGGGCAGCTGCAGCCTTGCCAGTTACCCTCCCTCCTGGTCCCCTGGCCAGGAGGGTTGGAGTGATCCTGGGCTGCGTGCCAGAGTCTTACACTTTTGCTCTTTATGCCAGGGGCTGGGAGGAGAGAGCCAGTGCGGGGGAGGGAGAGGAGGCTGCCACTTCCAGGCACTCTCCCTCCTCCCGTCATTCCTGGAAGGCTCCTTCTTGGTTTCTACATCATGCAAAGGAAAGTCATCTTTTCTGAGCCCCAGAGATTCTGACCCAGGATGTGTGGGGAGGGTCTAGGTGTGTCAGACTTCTCTTCAAGTAGACCTCATTTTCTTTAAGAAATAACCTTAATCCCGAGAAAAAGAAGCAGCTCGGAGAGAGAGAGAGCTGGCAGAGTAGCCATAGAATTGCCCTTCTCTGGGGAAGAAATGGCCTTAGTAACTTCCTCATTGCCTGCTTCTTCCCTGTTGCTTCTCAACACCCAGCTCATCCCCAAACAGGCACATCGGCTCTGTCCACACCCCTCACCTCCATGCGTTCGGAGTCAGGTAGGAACAACCTATGTACATGGTGCCTTGCAGCCGGCCACATTGCATTTATTTACTCCTTCAGAGGCCTCCCGCGTGCCCAGCACAGAACCGACGACCAGTGATACAAAGTCAAGTGAGAAGCACACAGCCGAGTGGGCCAGACCGATCCGTAAGCCCATGGAGTACAGGGAATGCAGGGGATGGAGAGGGACAGAGTCTTTCTGTGGGTTTTTGTGAGAGACAAGAAAGGGAAAAGTAAGAGAAGGCCCCCAGCAACTTGATTTCGGTGAGGATCTGTCCCAGAGGAAAGGGGTGGGTGAGGGCACCTGGGGGCTGGGAGCCACCCTCGGCGCTCCGGCTCCGCTCTTCCCGGTTCAGACGTGCGCGGTAGTACTCACTTTGCACCGAGAGCCCAGACTAATAAATCCTCCACTCAATTGCAGTCCCCACGGTGCGTTTATAGGCAGCAGCTGACTTTTATCAGCTAGTTTGTTCTTTCATATAAGGGTTTTATGAGGGTCTCCTGAGCTGGCTCGTAACGTGATGAAACGTCTGCAAAACTCAACCATAAATCCCCGGCACCTGCCAAGCAGAGGATGCTGTTTTCCAGGCACATTTCGTCCAGCTGGCGGCTCTGTCCCCTTGCCCAGTTTGCATTTTTGCACTTGTCTCTTTAAACTTGGATTTGTTTTTCAACTCTCTTGCAGCCTCTTTAAAGGCAACTGAGAAATGAGGGGCGGGAAAAAGGAACTAGAAAGTTATGTCTGTGCTAAAAATTACCCCTGGCTTATGTCGCCCTGAAAGCTGGTTTGGATCCTTCCTGTGCAAGGAAGGCGTAAGGCTTCCCAGCCACACGAATGGGGGGGGGGGGGCACGTGGGGGCACGTGGGGGTGGCTGAAGGACAGTGCCAGCTCAGCTCGTTCTTAATTCTTTGGTTCCTTTCTGGGGCATCACCTTTAGTTCTTGCCAAAGGGCCCTCTCCTAGGTTGTCTGGTCTGTAAATGAAAGAAACCGCTCCAGAGGCCTTTTTCCCACATGCTCTCCAAGCAGGAAACCTTTCCCCAGCATTCTGAGCTCCCCAAGCTGGAGATGAAATTTAAATGCCCTTCCTCCTCCAAACAAGGGAAGACCTGGACGCTCTGGGGATGCTGGCTGGCCTGAGGTGTGCTGGTGACTTGGGAAAGCTGCAGACCCCTCAGTGAAGCGTGTGATCCGTTTAGGAAATGTTCGTTTGTTCACCTGTGTGTCCACAGGTTCTCTCTTGTGGTCAGGAGACCTCTGTGGCTGCCCTTCGCGTGGCCTCATCCTTTGCTCACCTTCCCTGGACCCCACTTCAGGGCGGCTTCATGGGCATGCGACCTTCGCTCACAAGGGTCCCCAGCTTGACCTAATGCTCTGCTGTCACCCTCTTGAAACTCTTCGTAGTTTTTTTTAACAAGAGGCTGGGTTTTCATTTGCATAGGGCCCTGCAAACTATGTCTCTGGTCCTACTGCAAGTACAATAGCTTCTTCTACTGCAAGCTGTAGACAGATCCTCTTTCTTCCCAAGTCCAAGTTTAAGCCTCCATAAAGCCGGTTACTTTGTTGTTTTAAAATGTCTTTATTGATTTTGGACAAAGAGGAAGGGAGAGGGGGAGAATTCGAGAGAGAAACATCGATCAGCTGCCTCCTGCATACCCCTACTGTGGATGGAGCCGGAAACCCAGGCATGTGCCTGGCTGGGAATCCAATCGGCAACCTTTTGGTACATGGGACGATGCTCAACCCACTGAGCAACACCAGCCAGGACTTACTTGTTTTTTAATGAGGAAACTGGCCTTGCTTTACTCCCAAAGGCTCCTGTTACCAGTCTACTGGTTACAACCAACCTCTACCAATCTCTATCACGTGACAGTATCTAACTGCCCTTCCAATACCAACTCCTAAGTGTCCTCACCAGCTCCTCGCCCTTTAGCACCTTTCAGAAGAGATTTCTAGGTAATGCATTCCACCAGGAGGAAGCGCCTGCTCCTGTGGAGGGGCTGGGGTCTAGGGGCTGAGCCGGTGATGGAAGGAAACAGGACAGGAGTGGACCCCACCCCAATGACAAAGAGCCTCAGACCAGACTAAGCAAAGCATCCCTCCCTCCCCCAGCCCCGCCTGGCCCGGGCTCCCGGATCCACCGGGCATTGCCACACCAGCGGAAATGGTGGTTGCTGTCCCAGCCAAACCCTGGGCCAGCGGCGACAGCCCCCACTGGGCCCCGCAACCACATCAAGGGCACAGCTCCACCCTCCTATTTGCACCCCCTCCAACCTCAGGCTTCCCTGCCTCTCTCTTTCCCAGAGAACCCAGCTTATAACCTCTGCTTGGGGCCGGGGTCAACCACGGGTCTCCGTGGCTGCCTCTGAGTGGTGGGGAAGGTTCTGGACAGGGAGTCAGGACACCTACCACTCACCCCTGTGGGATCTAAGTAGGTGGCTTGACCTCTCTGGGCCCAGGTCTTCATTGAATAAGCAAACACAAAGTAGGCTGACAGACAACAGTGCCAGCTTCGTGAGGCCACTGCCAGTTAAAGTGGGTTAAAATATGTGAAAGAACTTTAAGCCTCGTCATACAAATTTAAGTAAATTTCCTCTGAGAAGCAGCAGGATGTAATGGAAAGAATAATTTGGGAGCCACTAAGAATAATGCTATAATTACTATTTATTGAGCGGTTTCTCTTGCCTCATGCCTATGTCTAGTGCTTAAAAAAAAAAAAAAAAAGATTTTTTTAATTGATTTTGTTTTGAGAGAGGGGAAGTGAGAGAAACATTGATGTGAGAGTGTGTGGGAACCCTAGTCAGAGTACGCCAGATGTTCAAGGCCAATTAGCCACACGCATGTGCAAAGGCAATGACACAACTGATTGCCCTGTGCAGGCATACCTGTCCATAAGCCACATATTGATATCACTGTTGAGCAAGAAGCCTCGTGTCTAAGTTGGTATAGAGATGGTGTGTGGCTGCTCTGTAGGGCTCCTTTGAAGAATGGTTTTGATTAAGAGCTCCTATGGTAGCGATAGCTACTCAGTCTGCAATAAAGTCTCTCCTATATGTCAACGACTCCTCATGTCTTCTTCCAGTGCCCAGCGTCCAAGGAGGTCAAGTGCCTGGTCAAGGGGCTTGCACCTGACAGTGAAACATCAATTGGCTGTTTTCTGCATGCCCCCTACCGAGGATGGAGCCACCCAACCATTTGGTGCATGAGATGATGCCCAACCCACGGAGCTACACTGGCCAGGGCCGTGCCGTGCTTTTCTATCCATTACAACCACCCTGGGAGGCAGGTACTATTGCCCGAGTTTTACAGCTCATGACACTGATTCAGGAAGATCATGTAGCTGGTCTGAGATTTTAAATTGTTGACGAACTCTATCTAGCTCCAATCTACTGCACAGCCATCTGAGACAGGGCAGGCTGGGCGTCCTCAGTCAAGTCACCTAACCCCTCTGGGCCCCGTTTCCTCCTCTGTGCAGTGAAGACCGTCATCTCCTGGTGACAGCCTATGGGGTGAAGGAGCCCCCATGTGTAGATCCTGGGCAAAGTGCCGGTGTGTTTTCTCCCACTGGCAGCCCTGGCCTCCAGAGTGTGTTTGGGTTGGTGGGGACTGACTTCATGGGGGAGCCGTAGTTCCCTGAAGTGGGCAGAGGTTCTGGTGACCACGCAGTGAGGAAAGCATGGCTCAGGTAGGCGCTAAGGTGTGCCATTTCCTGCAACCCTTGGCTACATTCAGAGGCAAGGCCAGGGATGGGAGCCTCCTGCTTGCCCGGGGCAGTCTGGGGCAGTCATTTCTTTTTCTTTCTTTTTAAATATATTTTGTTGATTTTTTACAGAGAGGAAGAGAGAGGGATAGAGAGTTAGAAACATCGATGAGAGAGAATCATTGATCAGCTGCCTCCTGCACACCCCCCACTGAGGATGTGCCTGCAACCAAGGTACATGCCCCTGACCGGAATCGAACCTGGGACCTTTCAGTCCTCAGGCTGATGCTCTATCCACTGAGCCAA